ACCATCCTTGTTCTGTCCAGAGTATACAAACACATAATGAGAGCTCAGTTAATCTTATTGAATTAAACAATAGACCAACCAGCTTCTTGAGCACTGCTTATGTGCCAGACACTCTATTAGGCACTAAGCAGACCACAAAGAATCATACTTTAAAAGAAGACATATCCTGGTGGGGGAAACAGACACATGCAAAACAGTCAGGAACAGTGGAGCTCCAAAGCGTGCTGATGTGAGCTACAGCCCAGGACCCCAACTGCACCAAGAAGGAGTAAGAGAAATAAGACCTCTTCCCTGTCCTTTCACAGCCTCCTTTATGCTTTTCTTGGCCCTAGAGCTTAAAAGACTCATCTCCCCATACAACAATTCCTTAGAGATAAGACGTACACCACAGTGAGTAGGCGCAGAATTAGAGCAGCTCTCTAATTCTATTTAGGCACCATCTTATCTGCTGGTCTGAAGGGTTACTGGGGAAATGCAGGCTGCATCCCTGTTACATCTTCTTGCTTGTGAAGCCAGGAGAGCCGACGCCCACCCAGACCCTCATTTCTCACCCCCGATTAAGTGACCGGTTCCCAGGGTCGACCAGGTATCAAGCATGTGCTAATTCTCTAATCTGGTTTGTCCTTGGAGGGCCACCCCATCCTGCTGGCCACACCAGCTGCCTAAGGGAGCACAACTGAGGAGAGATTTGGCAATCATCCAGTTAATTTGATCAGTGGAGACAGCCAAACAAATAATCCAGGCCAAAAATGTCCAGATCAGCTGTCTACATGGATCAAATTCCACTTCACTGGCACAGTAAAGGTTCAGCCTTGAGAATGGGTTTGATGGAAAAATATGTCCCAGTGTCCCGGCATCCCTGGCTGAAGCGGCCTCCAGCAGGATTGTCAGCTTGGCTCCATTTCTCTGTGACACCCCCTCCTTTCCCTGAGGGGCTGTTCCCCTCCCAGGTAACTCTACCTCACTCGTTGGAGCGTGGCCCCAAGGGGCAAGGCCCTTTGGCATCCTTGCCTCTAAACACTGATGTAGAGGCTGTACCTTCAACAATTGTCAGAACTCATGGTAGGCTATGGGAAGACATGTGGCTGACATCACAGCCAGCATTCTCATTAAAACAGACTACCCAAACTGACAAGCTTGTTTCTTAGAGCAACCGCCTTCCAAGTATCAAATTCTCTTATCACTTTGGACGAGGCTCAGCTCCATGTAATGAAAGTTAGAACACAAGGATTTATTCTCTCATGTAAAAGAAGTCCACGTTTAGGCAGGGCTGGAACCTCCACAAAGACACCAGAGATGTAGGCTCCTTGCATCGTTCTGCTCCAAGATGCCTATAGTGTGAAACTCCCATCATTAAGGTCCCCTCATGATAAGACGTGATTGCTAAAAATCACATGACCAAGCCTAACTGCAAGGGATGCTGGGATATGTAGTCTTTCATCTGAGATCACTGCTACAGAAAAAAAATTCAGGATTCTGTTACTAAGGTGAAAGGGGAGAATGATGTTGGAGGAAGCCACTAGCAAACTATGCCACAATTTGTTATTTGTTTGCATTTAAGGCTCCCCAATCACAGCTCAGCCCACATTTTATTTAAATTTGTAACTCCCCAATGCCTACCACAATGCCTCTCACAGATTAAGAAATCAACAAATATGCATAGAATAATCACTGAAATCCACACTGAAGAGGTTTTCCATTAGGACCCTAACTTAGACAGTATTTCAAGGATAATTTTCACCTAATCACCATGATCCTTTTTATTCTTTTTGAAGATGTTTTTTCTTCTCATCTACCCTCCTTAAACCAGCTTCTAGAGTTCCAATCAAGATCTTAGAGTGCCATTTAGAGCCATACTCGTCGACGTGTGGTCTAAGGACTGATGCCGATCTGCAAACTATAAATCAACAATGTCGCTAAGTAGTGTTTAGTTCAGCTTAGACTTCCTCGATGCAATGCTTTTATTTGTATTCTGGAGTAAGCTCCTTATCTTAGACCTTATCACAGGCCAGTAAAAATTGAGTAGCACTGATTTAGAGGCTGTACCTTCGAGAACTCACAGTGAAAACATATGGTTGAAATTACAGTGGGCATTCTCATTAAAACATACAATCTAAATTAAAAGAGATAGGCAATCATGATTTAAAAGGACTTTGATCATGTATATAAAGCAGCCAAATCCAGCCCAAAAAAATGTTATTGGAAATCCAGGTAAACCTTACTCTGCCCTGGTCAAGATGGGGCAACCATACTTGGTAGCATGTGTCAAAAAAGACTTAAAGGTGTTAGTCGGCTGCAACTCATGAAGTCCAACACTGTGTCACAGTCACATGTAATTTTAGGGTGCATTAATAGGAGCATTAAATTTAGAACAAAGGAGATAATGATCCTACTCTACTCTGTACTAGTCACTACATGCATGGAATATTGTGTCCAGTTGTGAGCACACCCATCAGGAGGAGTGTTGGGGAACTGCACCTCATGCAGAGGAAAGCAACCTCAACAGTGAAAAGATGCAAAACCATGTCATGTAGAAACAGTTCAATGAACTAGTGATGTTTAGCCCCATGAGAGGACTTGGAGACCATGACCTCTATCTTCAAATATGCAAAGAGTTGTCAAGTAAAGAATAGATTAATCTTGTTCTGGGAAATGCAAGGGCATAGAACCAGGACCAATGGGTAGAAGATCTACAAAGAAAGATTTAGGCTCAGTATCAGCAAGAAAGTTCTGACAACCAAAACTGTCTCTAGATGGAGTGGGCTATCTTAGAAGGTCATGAACTCAGCCACCCAGGAATTAAAGCCAGGCTGGAGAAGCTTCCCTGTGGCACAGGGCAGGGTCAAGGGCCAGATGATAGTTGAGCTAAAACCTCCAGCTAGAGTCACGCCCTTCCTGCAACTCTGTGATCTCTGTTCTACAGCAACATCTTAACAGCCACGCCTCATGTGGTCATATGGCTTGACGGCTTCCTGTCCAAAAAGCCCTTTCCTATTCATTGTCTCCGTTGACTCTCACAGCTCTCTGGGGTAGACAGAATAGACTGCAGATGAGAGAATGCCATCCAGTTAAGCATCCAAGTCAGGACCTGCCTCAGGTCACTTGATCCCCAGCCCATTGGTCGGGAAAGGATCACCAAGAGAAATTTCCCTCTTGATGAGAGATTGACAAACCAACAGGAGGAGACCCCCCACAGAGGAGCAGGACCCCCCAGAGGGGACAGCTGAGCAGGAGCCATTGGCTCCTGTTGGCTCTTTCAGCCTTCTCTAGCTGCTCCCACTTTAAAAGGCGCAACTGCAAGTTCATTCCCTATATTAGGAATGAAGGCTCCAGGTAGGTGTTGGCAAACTATGACCAGTGGGCCAAATCTGGCCTGCCACCTGTTCATGCAAATAAAGTTTTATTGCAACACATCCTTGCCTATTCATTACATATTGTCTATGGCTGTTTTCCTGCTATATAGACAGAGTTCTGTAGTTGCAACAGAGGGCATTTGGCCCACAAAACCTAAAACATTTATTGTCTGATCCTTTACAGAAAAAGGTTGCCAACCCTTGCTCTAGGACATCAATGTGGAAATATGGATCTAGTTAATGTGCTTGACTGTAATGGACAACAAACATAAGAAAAATCTTGCAGGACTGGGAAATCCTATCCAGGAAGCAATTCCTTACGCAACCATTTACTAATGCAAGAGAAAGGGACGCAAGTCTTTCACAGAACAAAAGTTTTATCTTCTGTCTGTTGGATTTTGATATACCACAGCCATAGGGCATAGCTATTATGACTATTTAAAGCATATATAATAAACCAATTGTTCCATCACTGTGTCTATTTGTAATAAGCACTGCGGCATGGTTATGAAAAAGAGCAATGCAATTCTTTGAATCAATATTAGGACCTAATTAGCCACTGAGCCCAGGCTGATAGCAGCTTATCATACCTTTCAGCCCAAAGAACGCTCAGGTGGAAGGGAGAGAGAGAGAGAGAAAGAAGAGGGAATAAATAGCTAATTATGATAAACTGGTTTCCTTGGTAACTCTGTTTATAACCGCAATGATGTTGCCATATTTTTAATGATAAACACAAAGGTTCGATGTGAGATTATATAACACATACCATCTCAGTGCTGGTTCTACTCTAGCAAAGGTGAAGCCAGATACAAATGTGAAATTTTGTGAGGCTGAGAAAATTAGAGAAGCTTTCTCTAACCCCCACCCCAAACATCTGTCGTTAGTTCATTCTCTGGGTACCAAAGCTCTCAAGAATATATGGAAACAGGTATTTATGATGCTTAATGACTCCTATGTGACCATCCAACCCATTTACTCTTCCTCAGCTGGGGTGCCCCTTGGTCCTTTTTGACCAGACCTGTGGTTTGGGGAGGGACATGCAGTGAGTAACAGAGCAGGAATGAGCCATTTCACAAGGCTGTCAGCCATCACGGTCGACCCTGGGATCACCAAATTTGTGAGAATAACATTTTGGCTGAAATACTTGGGTCCACTGGCAGATACTGCAGATTGAATCACTAAACCAGGGGTTGGCCACTATGGCCCATGGGCCAAATCCAGCCCATTGCTGGTTTTGGTAAACAAAGTTGTACTGAAACACAGCCACACTCATTCATTTATATATTGCCTGTCATGGCTTTCATGCTACAAAGGTAGAGACAACCAGGTGCAACAGAAACCATATGGCTCACAAAGCCTAAAATGTTTACTATCTTACCCTTTACCAAGAAGTTTACTGAGCTCCATGCTAAACACCCAGATTCTGACCCACCTGTGCTTTGATTTCCTCTATGATAGAAGCCAAAACGCAAAATACTAAATGTCAGCTTCCTCCATGGCTGGAGAGACAGTGTGAACCTGTTCTGGCCAATGAGATGTAGGTAGAAGTCCCTGTTGTAGACGTTCTCTCCATGAATGCCCTTTCTCCCCCACAAAAAAGGGCAAAGGCTATATAAAAGGAAGCATTTTGCATCTTGCCATTCTTACTTCTACCTTCTCTGCCAGATGCCCTCTGCCTGGAACACAAACACAACAGCTGGAGATGCAGCAGCCATCTTGAACCCATGAAGACAAAAGTCATCTCTAATCACGGTAGACCTGGAAGATAGAGGAGTTGGTCCTTGTTAACATTCATGAGTTGGTGCCCAGCACTGGATTATGTTCTCATTAGGTCCAGACTTCTTGTTCTGTGAGAAAAATTAACCTCTTCCTTATTTAGTTGCTCTATAAGGGTTCTCAACTACTCACAACTGGACTGAATCCTAACTGGTCAAGGGAATATATAGAAAGTGGTATTGGAGCCCAACAAGTTGGATGATGATGTAAAGGTAGAATTTGAACAAGAGTAAGAGTGAGAGAGAGATTAACTGGCCAATTGAGGAAGTGGAGTTGTATCTCTGAAGGCTAGAATTTCAAGGAATGAGATGTCAGTCCCAGAGGTAAGGCTGCTGGTAAATGTGGTGCAACACTGTGATGACCTGGCTCTAAGGATGTTGGGAACCAGTTGTACCCACCAGGATTCAACCATGTATGTGATCTTATTGGCCTCCTGACCACATGTTCACCTACAGCATGACAGCTGAGTGGAGCAGAAAAGCATGCAGACTCTGGGGCCGGAGTGCTTAGGACCTATCACACCTAGCTGTGTAACTTCAGGTGAATTACTTAACTTCTCTGTGCCTCAGTTTCTTCATCTGTAAAGAGAAATAACAATAGCTCTTACCTAATACAGTTACTGTAAAGAGTACATGAGTTAAAGCCTTTAGAACAGTGCTATATGGTATGTAAAATATAAGCAGTAGCTATTTTTCCAGTTACTATTGCTGTAAAACTAAATGCCCCAAAACTAAGCATCCTGAAATAAACATCTCATTATGCCTGTGATGTTTGTGGGTCAAGACTTTAAACAAGGCATAGCCAGGGATGGCTTATCCCTGCTCCATGATGTCTGGAACCTCATCTAGGAAGACTCAAAGGCTGGCAGTAAGTTGACAGCTGGGCTGGACTGGTAGGAAGGCTGGTTCACTCCCACATCTAGCAGCTGCGCTGGAATGACTCAAAGACTGGGCAAAAGCATTTGCATGTGGCCTCTCCATGTGGCTTGGTTTCTTTGAAGCATGGTAGCCTCGGGGAAATCAGATGCTCATGGGGCAGCTCAGGGCTCCGAGCACAAGCGTTACAACGAGCAAGGTGAAAGCCTCATGGCCTTTACGCAGAATCAGAAATCACACGTCCCCTGTGCCTACTCTATCAGTCAACACAATCTCATAATCACAATCACACGCCCACTTAATTCACAGGGAGAAGAATCAGACTCCGCCTCCTGATGGAGGAGTGGCAAGGTATACTGCAGAAGGGCAGGTGGGGAAGAAGAGATTGCCCTGGTCATCTCTGATCAACACACTCTGCCTGGGCTATTATAAGTATTTCTGCTCCATAAAATTATGAACTAGTTTATCTCTGCTCTCAAACTCCCTTATCATTCCATTGATACAGCAAAGAGCGTGGCTGTAGAAACTGTGCTCCAGTGTGGTTTCCCTGCTCCTGAAAAACTATACACTAGTTGAGGAAAGAACTGTGCCCTCCATTGCATCTCTGCCAACATGTATAGAGCTCTTGCTACATAAAAAAGTGCTTACTTAATTTTCTTAAATGCATAAATGACTGAATCATACACTAATAAATAATCACATAAAAGCACAATATCCTACAACACATGTGGGATTGGCAGACATTGCCAATCAGTCCCAGATCTTCATTCTTCCCTTCTTCCTTGGTAACAAAAGACAGATTTTATATCAAAGGATAACAGACTGTGTTGTTCATCCTTCCTTGTAGTTAGGTACAGGCATGTAACCATGTTCCAGTCAAGAAAGTGAAAGAGAAAGTGCTGTATGAGACATGTACAAAAGTTGCTCAAAAGTTGCTGACTACTCTAAGAGAGTCCTTTTGCCTTCTCCCCTTCCTCCTCCCACTTCCTGGAATGCAGATGAGACGGCTGGAATTTTAGCAATCATCAGGTGATCCTGAGGATGGAAACCAATGCCAAGGGTATCAGAGCAAAAAGCAAGAAGCCTGACTTCCAGATGACTTTGCTAGAGCTTCATGAGATGCGCCTCAGAAGTTGTTTAGCCACTGCAGTCAGGTCCAAACAAGGCATAGCCAGGGATGGCTTATCCCTGCTCCATGATGTCTGGAACCTCATCTAGGAAGACTCAAAGGCTGGCAGTAAGTTGACAGCTGGGCTGGACTGGTAGGAAGGCTGGTTCACTCCCACATCTAGCAGCTGCGCTGGAATGACTCAAAGACTGGGCAAAAGCATTTGCATGTGGCCTCTCCATGTGGCTTGGTTTCTTTGAAGCATGGTAGCCTCGGGGAAATCAGATGCTCATGGGGCAGCTCAGGGCTCCGAGCACAAGCGTTACAACGAGCAAGGTGAAAGCCTCATGGCCTTTACGCAGAATCAGAAATCACACGTCCCCTGTGCCTACTCTATCAGTCAACACAATCTCATAATCACAATCACACGCCCACTTAATTCACAGGGAGAAGAATCAGACTCCGCCTCCTGATGGAGGAGTGGCAAGGTATACTGCAGAAGGGCAGGTGGGGAAGAAGAGATTGCCCTGGTCATCTCTGATCAACACACTCTGCCTGGGCTATTATAAGTATTTCTGCTCCATAAAATTATGAACTAGTTTATCTCTGCTCTCAAACTCCCTTATCATTCCATTGATACAGCAAAGAGCGTGGCTGTAGAAACTGTGCTCCAGTGTGGTTTCCCTGCTCCTGAAAAACTATACACTAGTTGAGGAAAGAACTGTGCCCTCCATTGCATCTCTGCCAACATGTATAGAGCTCTTGCTACATAAAAAAGTGCTTACTTAATTTTCTTAAATGCATAAATGACTGAATCATACACTAATAAATAATCACATAAAAGCACAATATCCTACAACACATGTGGGATTGGCAGACATTGCCAATCAGTCCCAGATCTTCATTCTTCCCTTCTTCCTTGGTAACAAAAGACAGATTTTATATCAAAGGATAACAGACTGTGTTGTTCATCCTTCCTTGTAGTTAGGTACAGGCATGTAACCATGTTCCAGTCAAGAAAGTGAAAGAGAAAGTGCTGTATGAGACATGTACAAAAGTTGCTCAAAAGTTGCTGACTACTCTAAGAGAGTCCTTTTGCCTTCTCCCCTTCCTCCTCCCACTTCCTGGAATGCAGATGAGATGGCTGGAATTTTAGCAATCATCAGGTGATCCTGAGGATGGAAACCAATGCCAAGGGTATCAGAGCAAAAAGCAAGAAGCCTGACTTCCAGATGACTTTGCTAGAGCTTCATGAGATGCGCCTCAGAAGTTGTTTAGCCACTGCAGTCAGGTCCCTTCCTAGCTGCCAGATGAAATTCCTCTGGTACACACAAAGAGCCTCTAATAGGATTATATAATCACTCCTTCCTCTGAACTCTTGGGGGACTTGGGACCTTTCCTGTGATGTTGACCACACAGTACCTGGCATTATAGTACTACTTATTTAATCTCTCTAGTATATCATGATTCTCAAACGCTAGGAACCACTCTACCCGTCCTGGAGTCCATACACAGCCCACGCGCAGTGCCTAGTGCTTACTTGTGACTTGAATCTACATTTTTGAGTACAATTATTATTGATCCTTTTATGAAGTATAAACTTTTAAAGGGATTTTACTATACTTGTGATTGTATGAGTTGTGCCATTCCCTGGTCTCCCTTGGGTCCTAAACCTGGAGAGAATAACACATCATCTCAAGTTACCACAGGGAAGAACCCACCTAAGCTAACTTTAATTTAAAAATTAAGGATAGCATACTGGGGCCTTTCTTGTCTAGGGTAGGGCCACCACCTTCTGAACTACGTGGAAGAAGCTAGGCTACAACAAGGGGCAAAAACCAGCTGAGGCAAAGAGATTTCACAGATACCAGAAAGGGAGAGGGCAATGTTGAGTAACTGAGGCCCCACCTACTCTGCCTTCAGTTATGCAGGCTGCCTAGTGTCCTCCATGCACAGGAGCCACACTCCATTCCCTTTAACAGCTAAGCAGGTTTGAGTTGGGTTTCTGTCACCTGCAAGTGATAACACCCTCACTAACAGAAATTAAATTGCTTACATGCCTGTAAGTCTTAAAAAGCAGGGTTCAGGCTACTTATCCTGGGGGTTTTTTGGGTCTTCTTTGCTTGAAGACAGGATGCTGGACCAACTGACATCTTCAGGTCTAACCCTGAGAGATGCAATGCTAGAGAAGGATTTTAAAATCTCCATGGGACTCAGTGTGCCTGAGCCTATCTTACAGCTGGAAATGTGAAGACATCAGGAAGCTGTAGGCAGAATGTGCAAAATTTCTCTTATCTCTTCATGATGTTCTGCCGAGTACAGCGTGAATCCCTCACTGCCGTATTCCAATCAGTGCTGGAACCTTTAGCAAATGTCTAGGTGCTCATGTCCATCGTCCCTTTTGCTGTTCTCCTCCCTCTTTCTCTGCACAAATAGCTCTCTTTGTACAGATTCCAGTTCTTAAACTTGGTATCTCTCTGACCCAGGCCTGGTACCTTGGCATACAACAAGCCAAAGGTGAAGGTTATACACAAAAGGGGAAAAGAAGCTTTTAAAATAATTTACCATCTGTCAGTCATTTTGATGCAAGTGTCCAACACATGCACAGCCCCAAGCGTGTGTGTGTGCATGCATACTCGCACACACACACACACACACACACAGAGGCACCATGCATGCAGACACACTGCAGGGGACATTCACTGCCATTCACAACCAAAGCTTGACCTATAAGAGACACACCCATGAAAGCCTCTGTGTGTGTGCGTGTGTGTGTGTGTGTGTGTGTTTTGTTTTTGTTTTTTTGATAAAAGTAACAGAGCAGCAGCAAATAGCACAGAAGAAAAGGTCCTCTCCTTCCTGCTTCCTGGAGCATGTCTTTGTAAGGTGGGAGTGTCTTTATGTGTGTGGCTGAATGGGTAGTAAGAATGACCACAGATATGAGTCACAACCACAGGGCGGCTCACTGGTGTGTCTCATGCTGGGCT